TAGTAGTAGTAGTGCTAATAGTAGTACTAGTTCTGATACTAGTAGTAGTAGTAGTAGCAGCAGCAGCAGTAGTAGTAGTAGTGATGGTAGTAGTAGTAGTAGTAGTAGTAGTAGTACTAGTAGTAGTAGTAGATGTAGTAGTAGTAGTAGTAGTAGTAGTAGTAGTAGCAGGCTGAGTAGCAGCAGTGGTCGTGGCTGTGGTGGTGGTGGTTGTCGTGGCTGTCATGATTGTGGTGGTTGTAGTCGTAGTAGTCGTTGCGGCCGCCGCAGCAACCGCTGTCTTGGTGGTGGTGTTGGAATCAGAAACAACAGCTGCAGTCTTAAGAGCTGCCGTCGTCGATTGTCGCCTTTCGACATCCGGGTAATAGCTTTAGCTGCAAGGCGACGGTCTCTCGATAAGGGTCTCAAAGGGAAAAACACTCCTGGATTCGGAAGTTGGAAAGCTGCTTGGGCAGGGTAGACAAGTCCTCCATCATGCCAATGCCGACCTGCAGCAACGGCTCGGCATTTGGGTCAGGGAAGAGGAAGCAGGCTTAGAGATATTCGGTGGAACCCCTGCAAGCTTGTGAGGTGCTCGTCTAGCGAGCGCTGCGGTGGTAATGGGCTAATTGCGATCCCAAGGCGTAATAGGTCCAGGGGAAGAGGACAGCCGCGAAGCACATGCAGAGACCTCCCAGAAGAGTCCTTGCCCAGCTGACCTCTCGACCTGAGTTGTTTGCCACGACGGAATAGCCGCCTGCCATCACGAACCAACTCATGCTGTTCACGCATAGCAGAAGTGCCAGCTTAACTGGCATGATCTTGACTTGCTTTCGCTTCTCCGGCTTGCGAAGAAAAGTGCTGATCTCATACACACACCAAAGACGTTGAAGAGTGCGGGGGGACCACAGCACGGTGAGCTCATCCGCAATGTCCAAGAAAGCTGCTAATCCCAGTATGCCCTGCTCCTTGAGAGCGACATCGTGCTGGGCTATGCAAAGCTTGTCCAAGAACACAGTACGGGGCCGGCAAAAGGACCGAAGCCTCTGCCAGCCGAAAAAAAAGGAAACGAAGGTGACGTGGCCAAGAGCTACCGTCCAGGCTTCATCCGGGAGCACATGAGATGCTCGTAGGATTCCGACACTTGCACTGACTAGCAGGGTGGCGACTGCTGCTGCCCTTGAGTTGAAGACCACGAGCAGAGCAGCCAACTTGAGCCAGCGAGACGTTTTCCAATCGTGGCTCAGGAAATTGTCGATGCGCTGCGTTGGTCGGCTTAGACGAAAGTCGCAAGCCTGCTGGGAAGTGTCGGCTGAAGCCCAATGTTTTCCCCATCCACCAAGGCATTCATGCAAGTAGACGCCACGAAGGAGCTGGGGTGGCATCCTCGGTTCATTTATTTAGTATGAAATACCATCATCAGGGAATCATCCTACTCACTACAGATCCTTATTATGGTATCTTGAACTTGAGTTCCTTAGCAAGAGCCGGGCATCTCGACCTTCAGCGATCGCTCACTGAGAACAACGCTGGACCCAACACTCGATTCCTTCGACGTCATGGAACCAATCCTGCATACGTCCTCCATGGCTTTGGGGTTTAGGGTTTAGGGTCGGAGAGAGGGTTTAGGGTCCATGGCACAGACGGCTGTGCTAGGGATGATAACTGCTCAACTCACAACCTTGCCGCGATGAGCCCCCCGTCTGAGAGCCGCCAGGAGCACCACTCAAGTCAAGTCGGCCTAGAACCCTAAACCTTAAACCCTAGAATGTAGGAATTTAAGGCTGACTTACGGCTCATTACGGCTTGGGCTCTTAGCTGCCTTAGTGCCCTCGGGCTACGGGTTTTTCAACGTTAGCACAAGAGATGGGGCAATAAAAAACGCTAAACTCCACAAGGAAAAACCCACAACCCCCTAACCAATACCAACAAGGGACAAAACCCCTCGAACAAGCCGGGAAGCGCCTCGAAATGCACCTCGAACCCCATATACCCACAAACGCGTAAAACCGTAAGCCCAAAGTTTAGGGGCACATAGGACCCTACAAACCAACAAAATCTAGGTAATTATTTAAGCTTCTACAGTGTAGCACCCTTACAGATTACAGTAACCTTGATAGTACAACCCGACACCCTAAACTCTAAACCCTGAACCCTAGACTCTAAGCCCTGAACCCTGAACCCTGAACCCTAGACCCTAAACCCCAAGCCCTAAACCCTAAACCCTCCTTTTCAAAGGAACCGCCCCCCCCCCCTTCTTCCGGAAAACTTATCTTTGGTTAGTAGGGAATGGAAGAATGGTAGTAATGGTAGTTATGATTGTACCCCATTCCTGCATTCCCTACTAACCAAAGGTAAGAAAATTCGGAGAACCTCGGAACCGAAGAGCAAGGCCGTGGGCTGATCGAAGGTCAAGGACTCCAGAGGCAGCGGCTCCCGGCCTCGAACCAAAGGGGGGGGCCCTTTGAAGGGGTAGGGTTTAGGGTTAGGGTTTAGGGTTTAGGGTTTAGGGTTTAGGGTTTAGGGTTTAGGGTTTAGGGAAAGGGGGGGCCCTTTTAAGGGGGGGTTTAGGGTTCGGGGCTTAGGGTTTAGGGTTCAGGGTTTAGGGCTTTGGGTTTGGGGATTTAGGGGTTTAGGGGTTTAGGGGTTTAGGGTTCGGCGCTTAGGGGTTTAGGGTCTAGGGTTTAGGGTTTAGGGGGCCTAGGGGTTTAGGGTCTAGGGTTCAGGGCTTAAGGTTTAGGGATTTATGGGTTTAAGTGGGGCCTATGAGATGTTTTCGGGTTTAGGGCTTAAGGTGCCCCCAGGCTTCTACAAGTTCGTTACGGTTCTATAAGGGTTCCCTCATGGTTTGTACAGGTTCCCTTGGGGTTCGTTCGCTTAGCCTTACGGTTCCATAAGGCTTCAGTTCCGTTTGTATGGTTCCACATGGGTTCCCCTTGTGTTTTTTGAGAGTTCCCTACATGGTTCCATAACCAACTGGCCCTTTAAAGAGTTTTTGTGCATTTGAGTATGAGGGCTTCTATCAGGGACACCACATGGTTTCTAATGTGGGGGCCTTAATGATTAGAATAGGATTTTGGCGTCCTTTATAGTAGAATTTGAATAAGCAGCCCCCCCCCCCCCTCCCACCCCCAAAAAAATGAAATTATTGAGGCCCCTATAATTACAAGGATTCTATTTTTTGAGGCCCCTATAATCACAAGGATTCTAAAATCAAAACTGGCTTTGGGTTTTTGGGGGTTTAGGCGGTAGGGCTTCGGAGTGATGCTTCCCTAAACCCTTAACCCTAAACCCTAAACCCTAAACCGCAGTGATGATTCAGGGATGCCAAGGCTTCAGAAGATCCGAGGTTCGGCTTTAGGCCTAAACCCTGAACCCTAAAACCTACCTGTAGCCGAAAAGACCTACCTTTTTAAGGAACTCTATATATAAAGCCATATATGAATAATGATGGTAGCCTTTTTAAGAAAATATATAGAGAAGCCCTATATGAATAATGATGGTAAGAGTGAATAAATTATGCTAGCATGCAAGTTTTGCACGAACTAGTACGGGACTGTTGTCGTTACTCAGGACGAAACATTGTTGCTGAACCTGAGGCCGGTCTCGCTTTGATGTTTTTTTGTTCAGGGCTCTGGCGGTTTTAGGGTTTAGGGCTTTAGGGGTTTGGTGGGGGTTAATTCAGGGCTCTGGCGGTTGTAGGGTTTAGGGTTTTAGGGGTTTGGTAGGGCTTATAAGGTTTAGGCCAAAGCCGTAAACTCCAAACCCTACATCCCTCTTGAAATAGGAGTCTCAGAGAATATACTTGGAGCTTGGAGGTTCATGGGTAGTTATAAGTGGAGTCATAAGTCCCCTAATATAGGGTATAACTACAGTTACCCTACTTATGATCCCACTTATAACTACCCCTAAACCCTAAAGCCTACAGAACCCTTGAAAGGAACCCTTTAAGGGAACCCCAAATAGCCCCACTGATAACTACCCATGAACCTCCCAGATAGGGTCGGCAGATATAGACCCAACCCTAAACCCTAAACCCTAAACCAGGATCCTTGCTAACTACAAGGACGGGGAGCCCCTAAACTGGACCCCCCCTCAAAAAAAAAACGTTTACAGGGAACTTATCGAGGCCATTCAATACGAACTTGTAACACCCCACCCTAAACCCTAAACC